GACAGAGGCGCAGTATTGAAGACATGAAGGAGCGCTATTACAACATCATCAACAAACTGGCCAAGGCAAGAGCTGACCCTAACTTGAGTAACAGGGCAGCTCAGGTCTACGACGCTGAACATGAACGCAAGAGAAAAGATCAGCTGCTAAGGTTGTTTAATCGGACACAAGAACAGGTCAGTCATTTGAGGAAGTTTGAGAAGCTAAGAACATATGGATAATCAACAGTATTTTTGCACGGAACGCTGCATTTTTTAATTTTAAAAATAGTACCATTTTCCTGGAGCGTGGTAAAAGAACTGCCTTTTCCAAAATTTAGTATTTGGGCATCTGTTGTGTCCATAGGCAAGCCACTTGACCCATACGTGCCTGTCACTGCTCAGGAGTGTAACTGGGAACCAGCATTGACTGTGGAGTAAACCTACGATGGACTGCCATCCCATTTAAAGCTTCTCGAACACTAAAGCATCAAAGTATTGAAGATGTGTCATGCCAAGGGAAACTTGAGCAAGGCTTTTTCTGATGAGCCATATAAATTGACCAAAGATTTTACTGCTATAAAATGTTAATCTCAGGTTGAGGAAGAAGAGATGCTGATAACTGAACTGAAGAAGATTGAGCTGCGTAAGAAGGAGCGAGAGAAGAAGACGCAGGATCTACAGAAATTGATCACAGCTGCCGACAACAATGCAGAGCTGCGACGAACAGAACGGAAGATAACCAAGAAGAAGATTCCGCTGCCTCAGAGTAAATCCAGGAAGGACATGGAAGGAAGCTCCAAGGTCAGGAAAAAAGAAGAAATCTTGAAAAATACTTACTCTAGGGACAATTTGAAGCTTTTGTTTACGACCACCCTGATTAATTATGGGATTTGTTTGTAATCACAGTACAGCTGTAGCTTTTTTTGACCTATTGTCATTTTTTTATGGCCCTTTTGAACGTTTACGTGGTTGACAAGACTTAAGAAATTTATTAGCCTGTCAAAGCGCACAGTGCAAGCTGGAAAAATTTTGAATGAATGTTAGAAATGTTATTTTTTTTGTTTACTTTTCTCAATTATGTTTATTCACAGCAAATTCTGGAAACTGGAGGAATCAAGTTCCCTGATTTCAAGCAGTCTGGCGTCTACCTCCGAAGTCAAAAGGTACTACTCAATTCCCTCATCAATTTGAAGTCAGTGATTTCCATGGCTAGGATTATTTCAGTTGGTACACGTAGGTGAATAGGTCAAAAAGTACTGCTCAATTCCCTCATCAATTTGAAGTCAGTGATTTCCATGGCTAGGATTATTTCAGTTGGTACTCGTAGGTGAATAGGTCAAAAAGTACTAGTCAATTCCCTCATCAATTTGAAGTCAGTCATTCCTATGGCTAGGATTATTTCTGTTGGTACATGTAGGTGAATAGTTGATGCCAAGAGGATTCCTAAATGGCCCAGCTGAGAATAGAAGCTAACTTGGAAGAAGCTGACCAAACTATCCAGGAAACAGCAGCAGGCATTAGTTGATATCATCACAGGATTAGACACAAGACCATTCGCAATTTCCAGGGTGAACAGTGACAAAGGAATGCTTTTTTGCACTACATTCGAATAGCTTGTTACTTTAATTTAGAATTGGGGTTTTGTGTTGGTCTTGTGGGATCTCTTGATGGTCTGAACCACAAAATTGTCAACTATGCACAAGGCATTCACAATAACTCATAACATTATTGCAGACCCCTTTTTTTCTCGATAGTGCATGGGTCTGATGGTGTTTTATGCTACATTCTGAAGCCTGTCTCATGTCGCTGTTTTATGTCTGACAGATGAAGCTTCCCTCCTCGGTTGGTCAGAAGAAGACAAAGGCCATTGAGCACTTGCTAGACGAATTGGGAATTCCGATCCAGCCAATGCCAACCGAAGATATCTGCCAGTTATACAATGAACTCAGGTAAGCTGCATACAGGCGTTGCGATTGCGGCATGTCTTTCTACATGGGTCCTCACTATGACAGTCCTGTATCTAGT